CCTTAATTATGCTGATGTGTTGATTAAAACAGTCCTGGCGGTTATTTTTTAACACCAAAACTTTAAAAGGTTTACGTAAACTTTTAAAGATCGTTATGCCTTTTGGAAGTTGATGGAAAACTGCTGTACGGATTTAAGCAAAATAAGCGCTTAACTGTAAGCGTTTTACAGCCTGTCACTTTTTGTATTGAACAATGTGTTTTGATCTTATTTAGATTGTAGAAAAAGATGCTGATCCAAAATGGTCGCTGTTGTTTTATCTCAGAACCAAGTGTATCCTTATTATTTAAAAATGGGAAATCAGAAAATACAATATTTTCAAAAGTCAAAAGGTTTCCGTCATTCAACTTCATAATCCTATTAATATTCAGAAGTATGCAAAAAATTATTCTTGGTTTGTCGGTGGACATAAGGTTTATCACCAAGTCGACAAAAAGTCATATGATTGACGAAAGTTTCACTTTAAGTTCTAGTAACATCTTTATAATGGCAGATTAACGCTGAAAATTAGATTTAGCCTGTTGACAGTGCATAATAAATGGTTATTGCTCCACATGATAAGATACTATGTTACAATCACATTTTACAAGGTTAGTAATGCATAATAAAGGTACATCGTGACATTCTAGATAAATTATATAGGCTACATGTCTATATACATGTATATCGGTGGTGACTCAACAAGTTACATAATTGCATAATAAATTATCCAGTTAGATAAACTGATACAAACTCCTAGTCATTCAAAGAGGACGAACAAAATGCATTTCCCCAAAAAGATATTCCGTGCAGTTTTGCAATCAGAACTCGAAATTTAACAGTACAATTTCCCTTTGGCTATCTATGCAGCTATCTGTAAACTGTTCATTTTTCTGTACAGTTATTGTTACATTTGGCTGTTCATATACCTGTACAGCTATCTGCAAACAATCATTAGATCTAACTGTTCGTCTATCTGTAAATCTATCGTTACATCTAACTGTTCGTCTATCTGTACAATTATTGTTACATCTAACTGTTCGTCTATCTGTACAATTATTGTTACATCTAACTGTTCGTCTATCTGTACAATTATTGTTACATCTAACTGTTCGTCTATCTGTAAATCTATCGTTACATCTAACTGTTCGTCTATCTGTACAATTATTGTTACATCTAACTGTTCGTCTATCTGTAAATCTATCGTTACATCTAAATGTTCATCTATCTTTACAGGTATAGTTATATCTAATCTAACCAGTCTATATTTACAGCTACTGCCACATCTAACTGTTTATCTATTTGTACAACTATTGTTATATCTAACTGTTCGTCTATCTGTAAATCTATCGTTACATCTAACTGTTCGTCTTTCTACACAGCTATCGTTACATCTAAATGTTCATCTATCTTTACAGCTATAGTTATATCTAATCTAACCAGTCTATATTTACAGCTACTGCCACATCTAACTGTTTATCTATTTGTACAACTATTGTTATATCTAACTGTTCGTCTATCTGTAAATCTATCGTTACATCTAACTGTTCGTCTTTCTACACAGCTATCGTTACATCTAAATGTTCATCTATCTTTACAGCTATAGTTATATCTAATCTAACCAGTCTATATTTACAGCTACTGCCACATCTAA